CTTCATCATCCTTACACAAAAAACACTTGGCATATGAAAATCTGCAAGCTGCAGCCAACCAGGCATACAACTTTTCGGTGAAAGGTTTTGTAGATGTACTTTGTTATGCCACAATGCCTGGGATATGTCTATTTAGAGATGATTGGCTATCTCACTTGGACCATATGTTGTGGTTAGGTTGACAATGTGATAAAAATAAAGCTGCATGTTTATCATGTAGAAAACTATTGATGTGCGTAACATGAGAGAAGTAGCTATTAAAAATCACATATCAGGAATGTGATACAAGTGGAGTTGATTAAGAAAAATAAAAGATGTACAACAGTGACTTTTTGAATGAAATCTTACTGAGTTCATAAGCAAAACTTAGGCCTAATGTTACATCAGATACAGTGCCTAGACCTAGGCCAAACACAACAGTTGATGAACAGCTCATGTTTAGTGAGAATACAGATATCTTGTGGACTTTGCTCTCTGTGAATGAACATTTTTTGTACAAAATGCAATTTTGAGAATAATATTTTCTGGTAATGACATTGCAAAAGGTTATAATTTCTCTGAAATGATAACCAGATATCTCACCACATGTTAATATAACAAGTAAAAGGTGCAGAATATGTCTTGTTGTTAGATAAATGTCTAAATAAAAAAAAAAATCAATCAAAACAACTTAATATCCTCCTTCACTTTTAAGATGGGAAGACAAACCTGGTAGCAACATGATATTTTTCTAGTGATTTTATTGGCCATCTAGCATCTACAAAAAGTTTGGATAGTCTAATGACAAACATTGAAACTTTGAAGTTCAGAAAAATAATGCATCTGTCAATTGATTATCTCATTGTTAACTGGAAGCTTTACACGATGCTGGAAGACTGACTTCTTGCTGATTATAAGTGCACATTTATAGAAACTGGTGAGGATTATTTTGAATTTCTAATATGTGAAAAGATATGTTGTTATAAAAGTTAAAGTAGAAGATAACTATTGATATTTAGATCTAGACCTAGATGTACATGACTGTACTAGATCTGCGTTAATGACGTCCTATTTTAGGCTTGGCTAAGAAAAGGTACTCAAATAAAATCCAACAGTGTAAACTTACATCTATATTGGCATTGTTTTTAGTATTATTTAATATATCTTACATTAACTATGTTTATGTGGTTTACATTATTTATAGAGTATTTATAACTGGAGTTGCAGAGATGGGGCCTCCCATTGGCACAGTGGTCTGTCTTTGGACTTACAATGCTGGAAACTGGGTTTTGATACCTGTGGTGGGCAGAGCACAGTTAGTCCATTGTGTAGCTTTGTGCTTAATTACAAACAAGCATCAGAGATGAGTTGGGGAGTGGAAAACTTTCTCAGTGTCAGGTACCACTTGTTTCACAATTCACCTGCCAGGGAGGCTGACTACATGTTACACAGTCTACAGTATTTGCATACAAATACTACAAATGTAGGTAAGTATTAATAGGTAATACTTAAGTCTATAGATCATATTTTAAAGATTGAAGTTTATATGTGCATGTGTGGATTTGTATAGAACTTACTCAGTCATTACACATCCTGATTTTATTAATTTAATGTTTTGTTTTCTTTGTAGGTGGCTTGGAAATGTTTCAGCTATATGCCAAGCCCTGTCGGAAATAGACAACTTTGACAAGCTTATGCAGTCGAGAGGAAAGGATCACCAAATCCACAAAACCAGACTTTCAAAATGATGTAGCTAAAGACAAGTTGAGCCTTATGCTTTCTGTCTAAATACCAAACTGTTGATCCTTTCTGGCAACTGACTCAACAAAAATTTGTGAAAAACAGGCAAAACATTACAATGGACTCGGTTGATGTTGATTTGAACAACAGTGATACTCAAATCCTGCAAAAGTAGGGCTAGTCTGTAAGGGAACACTCAGTGAAGATTAAAAAATAAGTGACAGGGATGTAAGGGAATTTCTTACGCAGTCTAGAGCAATGATGGGGAAAGTTGCAGGAAAGTTATAATATGGTATTGTGAGATATCTTGACTGGTTAGATCCAAGATTAATGGCAAGAGATGGTGAAATTGCCAAGAAACATTTTAGAAGAATGTTTAAGATTTTGCTTGAAATGTATTTAGTACACCATCTAATGCCCTATTATGGTCCACAACAACAAACCTTGCCACCATTCCCTTAATGGATAAATTGTCATTCATTGTGTAATTGTTCACAGAGAAGCCTTGCTCAACAGAGGCCTGTCCACGTGAAAGGCACAGAAGCATTTTGACTGTCAACCACAGATTGTGAAATGAAGCACTGGTAGCAAGATGTAAATTGATGAAATTATCCACCCTGACAGCAGGATCATATTCCTTGAACACAGGGTATCCTTCACAACAATGACAAGGAATTCTTGGTATTGATTTTATCACAATCATGCTCCTTCACCCTGCTGTGAAAATTAACAGTTCTCTCAAACTGTCGTGCAGGGGAGCCAAACAAAAATATTATGCTTATCTTGAACAAAAAATCAGAGGAAGTTAAAAAGAATCAGAGGCAAGCAGAGGTTGGTGGATGAAATGGTAAAACTTGAGACAAATTTAAAAGAACTTCAAAATTATTTTTTACAGAAGCTTTGAGTAAAAAACAAGTTTGTATTCACTTAACAAATAAAGAATAAATATCACAAAGAGGTTTCATTTATGGCTTAAGTAATTTATTTAGTACACTAGAGTATATATGAGTCCTTTATCTATGAGTGATGTCTGTAATTTAGAGGGTCATTGAAATTAACTGTATGTGAAAAGTGCTCGAAAATGACTTCCTCTCACTTGTGTGAACCCTATATTAGGTTACAAATACAAATATTTATTCATAAAGTACAGAGTTAAACTTTGCCATAGGATTCACAAAGCCTATAACTTTGTTCTTTTTACTCACAATTACCCCAACAGACAAACCTTCCTGATACAAAAAGCATAAATGACTTGGTGGTAAGGAGCATGCTAATTGATTAATTCAGCTCCCTTAGTCAGAGGTTGTCAATGTATAACTACTTGATTATTTGGGTTAGGGAAGTTTATTACATTAGAAATTTAATATGACTGATATATGTTATATGGAATCATGTCACTAATAACTTTAGTCTAGAATTGTGCAGTGCTAGATCAATTGGTATTGGTCACCATTTGATATTTTCATGAAAGCTTGCCATTGTGTTAGTCAGTGTTACCATAAAGTACAAGAAGTTATGTTTCCAGTTAATGATATCGAAGCCTTTTGGCACCTCTCATACTATTTTCACACACATGGGAAAAGACATGTCTATATATTTATATATATGTATGTATGCTTTATCTTTCCCTGACAGAAAGTTTAAAAAATTGGAAATATTTGGTTCAAGAATAACAGATATTATTCCACCTTCAGTTATAAGTGAATTTCTAGTGATAATGTGCTGTAATATCTTTGCCTGTAAAACGATTTTTTGCAACACATTGGAATCCCAAGATGCAGATACAGAAAAATACTAGATTAGTTATGTAAAAAAACACTTTAGTAAAGAATGATGTGATTAAGATATCACCAGTCTTACTCTGATGTCATTAAGTAAAGAATGGTGTGATTAAGATTTCACCAGTTTTATTCTGATGTCCTTAAGAATGATGTGATTAAGATTTCACCAGTCTTACTCTGATGTCCTTAAGAATGGTGTGATTAAGATTTCACCAGTTTTATTCTGATGTCCTTAAGAATGATGTGATTAAGATTTCACCAGTCTTACTCTGATGTCCTTAAGAATGATGTGATTAAGATATCACCAGTCTTACTGTGATGTCATTAAGTAAAGAATGATGTGATTAAGATTTCACCAGTCTTACTGTGATGTCATTAAGCAAAGAATGATGTGATTAAGATTTCACCAGTCTTACTTTCATGTTATTGAGTAAAGAATAATGTGATTAAGATATCACCAGTCTTACTGTGATGTCATTAAATAAAGAATGATGAGATTCAGATTTCACCAGTTTTATCTAATGTATTGCACTTGTTACCCACTGAATAAACGTGATTAAAGAATGATATGCTTTCTGATAAAATATGTTAATAGGATTCTATGATGTTTTATCTACTATTAAATAATGTGTGTCACCCCCCTACAAAATATGACATTGGAGAAAAATAGCTAAATAAACTAGTTTATTAGTGGAAACAAATGTACAACTGATCAAGTTTCAGCAGTTTTTCTTTACTGTTGAGTATTATGTTATCTAACGTTTACTGTCGAGTATTATGTTATCTAAAGTTTAGTGTCGAGTATTATGTTATGTAACGTTTACTGTCCAGTATTATGCTATCTAACACTTACTGTCGAGTATTATGTTATCTAACACTTACTGTCGAGTATTATGTTATCTAATACTATCTAATGTTTTTTATATCATTTTTACTAATGAATGTTCCTTTGTATAATAAATTGATGTCTGGTCAGTAATAATCTGTCATTATAAGGTTCATGACCTTAAAAAAGAAGAATCTGTCATTATAAGGTTCTTGACCCTAAAAAAGAAGAGTTCTTTGTTCATAAGCACTCTGGACTGTCTTCAGTATCTTTTAACATTTCTTGTGATTATGACAAGTGTCATATCAAAATCTGTTAATGTGTTTCTTGTAAACCACACTCAAAACAGAAGCATTTCGTTTGATATGTAGCTATCAAATAAACTAAAACATCCCAGTGTTTAATTAATCATGACTTCAATTAGTTATACTTCCAATATTAACACCATCTACAATTTTACAATCTCATATACATGTTATTTTGCATCAATACTTGTATAGTGTTAAACAATAACAGTAGAATAATTATCAAATTTGAGACAATTTTTCTTAGTTGTTTTCTTCTGGTTAGAATGATCATTTTTTTAGGCTAACGTTTTTTTGTGTTTATTCAAGCATTTTAGACTTGATTAATCTCTTAAAAAATTATGAAACATTTTACTGGGTATGTGAAGCTAGTAAATTTGTTTGAATATTATATACTTTCATTGTTAGTAATGTTAAGTTCCTATTGAAGAAAATAAGTAGCTTAAATATCTTTCTTTTCTAGAATGCAGAATGATATTAAAATTCCAAAAAACCAGAGGAGAAAGTGAGTAAAAAATGTTTTTTCTAAAGTATTTTGTGTATCTGACTGCTACTTTAGAAACTCTAGGAAACTTTAAAAGTAATTTTGTAAAGAAAAAGTAAACTTATTTCACACTAATATACTGTGCTGTCAGAAGTAAGGCATTCGACTACTTTTACAATAGTTAAATAATTGACAGAGTTTGTTTTCTTGTGCTAATATGTTTATTTACAAACTTAAACTTATGTAGATAATTTTGAATTATTCATTTAAGGTTTTTGCTTATGTTTATATTCTCTGTTTAAATATTATTTCAGTCATTAATGAGTGTATTACTTAATAAAACTCTGTAGCTATTGTAATTATTTTAGGCTGTTTCATCAGAAGGTCGTAAATATGTGTGTTACGGTTACAGAGTAGCATGTTATAACATAAGGACTCTTTGATTATTCTTATAAGTACTGGCTGAACATAGGAATTGGTAATGCTGGTCTTTTGGAATAGTATAACAGTTCTAAACTATATGTTAGGTGATACAATTAAACTTTTGAACAGAGAGTAATTGACTGTGTGGTATTGAATAAATTGTGATGAGATAGAAGTGGAAGCGCTATGAGAAAAATTCTGTTCAAGAAGCTGTATATAATCTGCAATAAATGTTTTGGTATCAATTGAACATGAAGAGCAAAGAAACGGACTCAAATAAATACTATTATATAACAAATACTAATGAAACTCATACAAATAAAGAAAATTTCTTGGGTAACTTCAACATTCATTGTAAGACTACTTTGTTTGACGGATGTAGAGAAAGCACGTTGATGTGTGACAGACACAAGAATTGCAATAATAAGGATTCAACACTTTCATGTTAGACCAAAGTTCTAATCCAGTATATTTATACCTAACATTCGAGGCTAGTACAAAAACAGATTTAACCTATTGTTATGACATTGGAAGTCACGTGACGCTGGTAACACGTCATGATATTCTCGAAGGATCTTGACTTTTCCTGGCAACTCTAGTCTTTTCTAGGCACCCTCTATTTTAGTATATAAGCCTGGCAAATAAAGAGGAGATATACTTGCAGATAGACAGATATAGAGACAGATAATCGAGTCAAGCCAGCAGTAGGCACCGTAAGTAAAGTGTGTGTGAATCGCTGTGAATTATAACTTGTGTTTATAAAGTAGTTAAGTTTAAAGTGACTATGGAAATTAAGTGTATTACTAAAAGTGTAAGTTTCTCGGAAAGAATTTCTATGGGAAATTAACAAACAAGCAGATATGTAACACTATGTTTTGTTATTACAACAGGCTAGTACAAAAACGGATTCGACCTATGTTTTGTTATTGCAGTAGGCCTGTATAAAAACAGATTTAACCTATGTTTTGTTATTATAGCGGGCTAGTACAAAAATAGGTTTAACCTATGCTTTGTTATTACAGTACACCTGTACAAAAACAGATTTAACCTATGTTTTGTTATGACAGCAGCCTAGTACAAAAACAAATAAGCAAATTATCTAGTAGTTTTAACTAAACTTGTCCTACAATATAACTGTTTGCCAGGTCGTCACTTTCCCATCTGCAGTCTCCCATCTCCGGACAAGACTACCATCTTCAAGCTTCAACTGGTTCCATTGTGCCCAATAATTCTTTGTCGCAGGGCTTAAGCTACACACCTTCTCCCAAGCAGGGCACAAAACACTTGCTGTTAGAAAATCAATTATTGGCTTCAAATTTTGGTCTTCCTCCTGCTCTGCTTTAATATCTGTACCTGGTTCCACATAACCATCATCAACTCCTTCAGTCACTTTGACTTCAGCTTGATGGCCCCTGGTTAGTTCAACCTCCCTTTTAACACTTACCGGAATTTAGCCTTTGTTGTTCCCAAATGTCATTTTATCAAAATTAATTACACACTTCCTCGTTTGTAAGTAGTCCAACCCTAGTATGCATTGGTCTTCAATGTCAGCCAAGTATATCTTGTGTCTGTCCTTCATGCCCATGAACTCAATAGTTACCCACACTGGTCCACACAACCTTTCATAATGTCTTGTCACACCACAGAGCTTCTGTATGGCTTCTGGTACTTCTTTGTGATCCAGCACCTTGATACTCACAAGGGTTTGCTGAGATGCAGAATCTATGACAATGTTGCACTTTTTGCCATCCAGCTTTCCTGTCACGTAGACGCTATGTGTGCTTGGCATTTTACATTTAGCTGTTGGGACTTTCA